ACACAGACCCTATATATAAGAGTGGCATACTAAGTAGCTCTCAGTAATTGGTGACTCACATCACGCCTTGTGTGGACGATCAACTTGAGAATTAATTAAACTCTAATTCCACTATTGCCACTTTGAAGTCTGGCTAATCAGATCGCGGTGCTATACATGAAACTTGTCAAGCTCACAAATGGGATTCCGGCTCACTGGGGAATCCAGCTCCACATGTTCGTGTGGTGGATGGGGCGAGTAAAAATGACTTAGTCGTCGTTTCAAATATTGGAGTGCAACGGATCTCCGCGCCAGCTGTCGTTGCTGTTCAATGTTCAGTTCATTAATATAAAACAAATTTCCTTACATGGCCGTAACGTGAAAGTAGGAAAGTTCACGAATATTCAACATTTGTTTTATTCAATAATGAACCATTGTTAAGAGTTTTCCGGGCCTATATCATCATACCAGCTATTTTATGGCTTAAAATTGATGCCATAAAAAAAATTTCACCCAATTTCACCCGAAGTAAGATTAATGAATATAAAGCCAGATCAAATGTCTCAATTCTAGTCAGAAATTTAGTCCCTTTTTATATTTTCTGGCGATTCAATGTAGTGCTCTGCGTTCTGAACATGACTGTTCTGAACACGAGAACTTCTGTTCTCGCCTCAAGTTCAGAGTGCTGAGGGTCTAAGTCTGAACCTGACACCGATCTGAACAAGAGACTCCTGAAATGTAGCTAGCCAGGCTAAGCGAATATTACTCAGAAAACTAGTATACGAGGCAGCGGCCAAGTAGACGTCAAAGAGAGGCAAGCAAACTTTACCGAGACATTATTCATGGTACGAAACAGTGTTCAGAGTTACTAAGTTCCCATCATTGACGCAGTCTTTGTCGAACATATCGAACATAAATCATATGACTGGAGGCACGATCGTTTAATGTATTTGGCTCATCAAATATTATAACCAATTGTAAGTCAGTACAGGACTTGGTTCGTTTGAAATTTATGATGAATCCTACTGATAACCTAGGAGCTTTTCTCTTCCCTCTATTTAGAGAAAAAAAGGCAATACTTTTGACATTTTATTTTATTTTTTAATTTGATATTTAAGCAAAGTATTCATGACAAACAAACGTTATTATTTGTGCGAGTACATATGTAAATGTTATTATTTTTTACTCAAATAAAATTGATTTTCACTTTATTTGCATCTGATTTGATGTGAAGCACAAAATCATGAAAAATTGATTGGCGCCACAAGCAGCTGACTACAACAGGTGCATGGAAGGACCGCATGTTCAAACAACTATAAAATTTCATATTACTGAAATCATGGAAAGCACATTTGAACCTTGACCATATATTTATACATTTATACATATTAAAACATTTTTCTCATTAAACCCCGTCGATTACAGCGGTGCAGCCCCAGCATGAATGTTTATCTATTGGTAACGAGGGGGCACGAAGAGGGCAACAAGCTTCACAGGATTATTTTAGACTCGCTCGCTTCATGAGCGATAAATCATTTTTAGTGAGTCGTGATAAGTGGACGCGTAGTTAGAGTATCTGTTACTAAATTAATGTGAAGGAGATGAGAGTTATCTTATTTGTTCCTTACTTTTTTTAGAAGCTGTACCTTAATTAATGTACAGCTGAAGATTAATATGGGAAAAGTTTGGAAATCCGCAGGAGAAAATTAATTGCAGAGGCCTGCATTGAACTTTTTGTAAATTGGAATTCGGAGCACACTTTTTATTGCTACATAATACTTCTCGTCCAAATTTAAAGCAAAAATTTGTGGTTTGCAATTTGACACATTGTGCCTGCTTTTCATGTTTCTCATATAAGCTTGATAATTGCGCTGAAGTTGAAACGAGCCTGAAAGTAATTAGAATGGCTTGTTTGCAAGTACCGTCCATTGTTACAGAACGATAGTGCAGTCCAGCTCACCTCAGGAGCTAATGGCTCACAAGCTGGTGTCACAGTACGCATTGTGAGGAGGATGACGAACGATGCTCGTGTAGCAGCTCTTGAGCCGCTCGTTCTGTGCAATGTCCTGCATGCCTTAATTCATTGGAAATTAATGATGGAAAGTCCTACTGAAAGGTAACAAGCGGTAAGATAGAGCTCGCCTAGAATATCTCATCGTTGAATGTATAAAAAAAGTTTCGATATGGGTATGAAAAAATTAAAAAAATTACCATTGAAAAAAAGTTAAAGAAATGTTTATGCATTGCCCAAATTTTTTCCAGCAACCATGATTGAAATTTCTACGATATTTTTCAAGGACTATAGTTCTTTGAGAGAATATTGTTTATTTTGAGATAGTTCATTTACATATATTTTAGTGTTTGGCATTCTGGACTAATAAAGGCTCGTGCATTGAACAAAAGTAATTAACTTTGTTCACCAAACTTTTGTTCGTCATTCCACAAGACGGGAGTAGAGGGACAATTCTTACCTATTTTGGCCCAAACTATTGATCGGCGCTAAATTCATTGCAGTCTTGATGTTTTCGAAAGAACTCAAGTTCGTTGATGGCTGAGGGCATCACGTTGAGTGTAGCTTCGCCTAGCCTCTCAAGTACTGACTTTACTATTGTCTGTTTTCTTTCAGTTTCTGAGCCTCTAAATAGAAAGAGAGTCGTCGGAATCGAAAGCCACCTCTGACAAGGTTTTTGACTTTGAACTAGTTCCGAGGGTTTACTTCTACATATGAATTATATACCTTTTCCAATAGATGTAACGTATTAAATTGTTTTACCACATAGAAAGTTATATTTATTATATACTTTTGCAAATGGTTCAGTTCAATGGGTTTTGGAACTGAACATGAAATTTCGAGACTACGAAATTTTTATAAGGCGATCAAACAGTAGTCGCATGTGCACTATCATCGTCCCACGCCATGACATCTATACACTGCTGTGTTTAGCCCCTCACGTGCATTTCGCTTGAATACCTTTTTGAAAAGCATGAAATGTTACAGAAGCCTGCGTGGAGTTCAGTGGCGTAGTGAACGGCGTCGTATTCATCAAAGCGACTGGCGGACAATATAGCTGCCACGTACAGCAATGCAGCGCAGTCTGTAGCCGTCCTTGTCCTTTCACTAATTTTGATGAGAAATGGAGGGATAGTGATTGGATGTGGTAGTCAAGTGTACCGTTCTATGGCAGAAACATTTTGGTGTTAGAACTTGACGGAATACTATTTGATACGTTGATTGCAGGTGACAAACCTACCGTTGCCTATTCAATGTTTTTTTCGGTTGTAAGGAATGTCCATTAATTGATTTAAATTCGACTATTTCTATAAAATTGTTGAAATTCTGTACCTATCTACCCCACCGCAATGTTGAATTTAGATTATGTCATTAGTGACAAAGAAAACACCATAAACTGTCTCAAAAGTGCTTAATGATGCAGTATCTACACCGTTAGCTATTTTGGTGCAAGAAATTAATGTTGAGCTTATGAAGAAAGTAAAAGAGAGCAATATATTCCTTCCAGCTTACCGAATTGATAACATAATTTGAATTTTCAAACGATTGAAATTTTTGGCTGCCTAATCTGGCCGGTTTTCATCTGCCTGTCAACTCTGGCCAGTTTTTCCGTTACATTTATGTAGAAGAAATTCTCTCGCTAATTTGACCAGCCTCAATTTTTCACGCTATGGCGCGTGGCTGGAAGTCATCGCTTCAGCGTGAATTTTGGAAAGAAATTCTGGTCCGCCGCCGGGTGTTTGGACTGAATGTGTCGGAAGTAAATTATTGGAGGGGGCACTGAATTACGACCTCGTATCGCCTGGCTCAGCCTCCTCTTCAGCGTTGGTGCGTACGACGGCCTGTCATACGCAGGCAACAACCGTGGCTAAAAACTTGTAAAAATTCTGTTTCTGTGTAGAAATTTACCATCACAGTGCAGTTCGAGCAGGCACATAGAATTAACTTTCAATTATGTCAATGGGTTCTAGTGCATGAAACGCTTAAATTGGGGCTCTCTTTATCGTCGCGTTTTTGACTAAATAAATATTGAAATATGCCTATAGAAAAAATCTTTATTACATTTAAGGCAGTTTCAAGTCCAAGACATAAAACTTGTTTTATTCATTTACATTTTCTGTTGGAATTTTAGATACTGTTTCGTTATCAAATCTTCCTAGCGTTGTGAGAATATTAAGCCTGAATATTTATTTACCAAAGATATTTCCTTGAATTGTGACTTGAATTGTGATCAGAGAACTATGAATACCACGAGGATTGGGTGGTTCACTTTCGTATAGCGTTTCAAATTATTGTATTTAATTATATCCAATCAAAAATTTTTTTTAAATATGAACTTAAAGTTCCTGCCTCGACTACAACAAACATATTTGAAGCAAACTCAATGGAAAATGTAGTGTTTTTAGCGAGACGTATTCTTGTTTTAATTGGATTGCATTTGGTGCGATGCATTCTTGTTTTAATTGAATTGCATTTGGCGCTGATTGCACTTGATTAATGACACAAAAAAATACAAAGTACGAAGTGTATCGAATTCTCGGCTTTTTTTTAAATCACTTGCTCAGCGCGTTGGCAGTCATTTGTTTTTAGTACGCGTCATCGAGAAAATTAAAAAAATGTCATTTGATTTTTTATTTCTTTTACGTCTCGCAGGCAGTTTGGCTCGAAATGTATAATTATAAATTTGAAAAATATGTCCTCACAAGGTGTCAGTCTGAAAGTGCAGCAGTTATTAACTAGCTTGCAGTTGAATTCGTACCATTCTTCAGAACACTTGAAACAGCCGAGGAAGCAGCGTTTAGAAGGGACATCACTCACTCATAAACTCTATTTTTCGGCTTGCTTAGCAATGGAGTGTACATGATAGCCAAAAATGTGGATCATATGGGATAAATATTCAATTTATACGTGGGTAGCGCAAGAACCTACTGCAGCCTCGTGGCCACAAACCAAGGCCACGAGCAGACCCAACATTTCCTCCAGCACTCCCAACCCTCTTTTCTATTTCCAGGTTCCATCAGCAACATCCACGACCAGGAATACAAATGCAGCGACGGTTCCTCCAGCAAAGTGAAGGTCATCGATGGGGTCGTGGGTGCTGCCTCTTCGGTTACCTCCATTCAAGTCGCCAACCTCCTGTGCCTCTTTAAAATTCCACAGGTGAGGAGAATAATATTGAACAGATTTCCTTTAATTCGTAATATATGAATTTCAATTTGTCGTATCTGAACTGACACCAATTCGTACTTCATGAGGTTTAGAAACCAATTCATGTTCTTTCTATGTTCATTGAAGGGGGATTTTACTCATATCCATGTACTATCAGTTTGCGATGAAATTGTTGAATTGAAATTTGATTGTATCATTAATGGTAAAGCCTATCTGATAAAAAGCAACGAAATAGCAAAGAGCTGTCTATAATGAAGTAGTTTAATTATGAATAACTGCTAGAATAGTCTAAGCAAGGAAAATGGGCTATGTCGTATGCGAAACTCAAGGTGACTCATATAGACTTTTGATTAAAAAAAACGCAACATCCTGCAACAAAATAATACAACTATAAAAACAGGAAAAACGGCAGCGTCAAAGGAATATATTCATCCGAAAATGTCTTGTACATTAGGAAACTAATTTTTGTAGTTCTAGGTCTAAGGATATAAGGAGCTCAGTAATTCTAGGTCTTAGACGTACAAGAGCCGAGCCAGTTCTTCCCATGTCATATTAGTTCTAATGCGAAGCACTAGAGCATACATTTTAGCACTACAATAGAAATTTTGTGCCATTCTACCCGTTTGAAAAATGTAAACTAAAGGTAGCCTGTTGTACGTGTATTACAGACGCAGAAATTATCAATAACGTGATATTCTCATTATTATTTCAGTCAATAATTTTTTTCTAACGAAGTGTAAAATCTATGTCCCAAATACGTCAGTAGATAATGAATTCGTTTCATAAACGTAATTGATGATTTAATTGTTCAATTTATTTGTTTGACACAAGTTTACGAAGCGTTGTGAAGGCTCAATCGCAATAATTTGTGCGATTGAGCATGCAAATACAACATAGGAATTCAAAAATATTCAAACACCTACAAATTATCTATTTATCAAACTTACATAGATATTCCTGCGAGTCAATTTTATTAATTAGAATTTTTTTCTTGAAGTCTGAACAGAAATGAATTGACGATTCATTTCGTCTGAACAATGAATTGACGCTGTTACGTTTATATAGTAGTTGACAGCCATTACACCCTAGCTGGGCTATTCGGCCCGTAGTTGTAGGATTAAAACTGGTAATGTCGAAAAAAGAATAATGATTTGGGCTAATTACTGACGGCAAGCTCAGTCCGTGTCTGATTGGTGGCATTACGGGGAGATCCTAGGCTGATTTAAAACATCATGCAAGCAGTCCAATTGAAGGTTGATTGGGTTACAAATTGGTGGTCTATGGTTGAGCTTCTCGGCAGATTGTACGAATTACGAGAAGGGAAACTCAGTAAAGTTTCTATTTACAGAAGTATAAGCTACAATTTTTTTTAAACGGTAAAATGCTGGCTGGAATGGAATTAAATAATTGCCGTAAGTGTTAATTCCTGTCTCTTATACACATCTAGATGTGTATAAGAGACAGCTATATATAAGAGCTAAATCACCTCACCGAAATTCTACAGGTTTCGCTTACAGTTCAGGTTGTTATATGTTAAGAAACCTGAGATAAATTGTCTTCACGGCGAATTTTTTTCATTNCGATTTTTTTACCGTACTCACGGCTATCTTACAACTAAATTCTACAACGAAATAGTGTATTTATATTGTTTTATCTGATCCTATGCAATATTTCTGAGTAATGTAGAAAATTTAAAACTATGTTTGTGCTTTTTTACATCGTCAAATATATCCTAAAATAGTCAATTCAGTTAAATATATGATATATATATAGGCGTTAAAAAATTATTTTTTACAAACAACGCTTCTAAAGAATCCAGTGTCTCCAATGATACACATGTTTAATTTTATTTTTAAATATTCAACAAATGAATTTTCATTTTTTTAATATTAAAAAATTAAATTTTCAAAATTATTTATTTTGTCAGTTGATTCGTGCATTGTCTCCGACTTTACGCAAGTGCGCAAAATTTCAGATCGAATGAACAGGTAGAAGTGCGTTAAATATCGATTATAAGATTTGTAGCAGACAAACAAACAACAAGAAGTGAAGTTAAAAAGAAGTGTTTTAATATACCTTAGAATACGTAACTTTTGTACAACCTAGTAGTCAATCTCCTCTTCATTTACAGGTGACTCAATTAAGCAACGTAATCAAACGTAATGAATTTTTATTAATCGCATGGCTGCAGTTCCAACCATGAGGGAAAATTCGGAGTATCCGCTCGAATTGGAGTTCACATAAATAAGCTGATTTCCGGTTTTTCCTCATTTCGCAATCACTAACCTAAAGATTGTTGCCTATTTCCCCTCGCAAGGAAGCAGCCTACAATTTGCTGTCAACACCTAACCCTCCTCGGGAAAATTCCAAGTTGCGCTAGACTCCCGGCCGCCGGTTGTTGTTTACGAGAAGGCGCGTCTCCAGCGGAGGGCGGGCGGTCGACTTCAGCTCTAATGCACCTCGTAAAATTCCTCGCATATTGACAGCAAAATCACGGTTTTTGTGTATTTTTTCTCTTATCGCGCTATATATTTTTGAACGAAATGCTTAGGATTTATCAATCATCTGACAAATGCGTATTTCTGCAACTGCAATCGAGAATTTGAATGAAGATATAGTAAATCTATTCGAAAAAAAGTAATACATTTGTTTGTTGGCTTAAGAAACCCACGACGGCTATTTATTTTTTTCGTTGCTTATATAACGTTTTGTATGTAACTTGTTTTTTGTATTTTGCACTTAACTTCTCTTATTGCATGTCTGGCAGCAATGTCGCTTGGTTCAGAACAAAAAAAATCACACTCCAGACACACCAAATGTGCTTTGGCCCAAAGATGGAATGTAGGCGATTAGATCCTCTGATTTACACTAAGCGCCTAAACTTCTCCTTGAGCATTCGTCATACTCACCAAACTTTTCAACTTGAAACAAAAACGTGTTTTTTTTAAGGAAAACCGAGTGATGTATTAAGGAGTGTTCGCGAGGAGAGGAAGATCACGCGTCGACATACAGTTACGCGCATATTTATTGGCAACTTTCAACTCAAAATTTAAATATTGTACCTATGTCCAAGATACTGATGAAATATTAGTGTGCTTGTATCAAAATGCTAGCCTGTAATCGTGTAAACTAATTTCTTACATAAAAAAATATATTATTCATTTAATATTTTCAGGTATATCTTATATTGTAAATTGATTGTTATTTTCCTCGTGCAAAATTAATGGCAACCTTTACATAAAATCAATTTAACTCATCATTGTTTATCAAGAATATTCTAGGTTGATCTGAGGATGACTCTACAACATTGCAGAACATTCCAAAACACTATGTGCCTATACTATAAACCTATACGCCAAGTTTGCGCTTGCTCAGTTAGTCGTTGGAAGCAGTCGTATAAACACATCTCTAAGATTTTCTAAATTCAATTATGGCGAAGACTTCTGAATACTCACAGGACATAAGGAAGTGTATAGTTGAACTACACAACAAAGAAAATGGATATCGAAAAATATCATCAACTCTGAATGTTCCAATTTCATCCGTAAGGAATATTATTGTCAAGTTCAGGAAAGATGGGACCACTGCTAATCGAGCACGAACCGGTCGTAATCGAAAATTAAGCGAAAGAGATGTGCGTTCCTGCATGAAAATAGTAAATAAAGACCCGAAGATCACTTCCAAGGAACTGCAATCACATCTGGCTAGTACTGGAAAAACTGTGGATGTATCAACAGTGCGACGCTATACCTGAACCGTGAGGGCCTTCACGGGCCTGTACCAAGGATGAAGCCACTGTTGAAGCCAATTCACAAGGAGAAGCGTTTGGAGTTCGCCATGAAGCACATCGATGCTACTCAAGCAGAGCTCAATAATATATTGTGGTCGGACGAGACAAAGCTTGAACTTTTTGGTGTGAATGACAACCGCTTTGTATGGAGGAAATCTGGTGAAGCTCTGCTGGAAAAGAACACTCTACCTACTGTGAAGCATGGTGGTGTGTTGTGGGGATGCTTTGCTGCTGCAGGTACTGGGAATATTCCTGTGATAGAGGGCATCATGAATTCTGAAGGATATCAGCACATTTTAACTGATAATGTTAAGCAATCGACAAGAAAACTGCATCTTGGATCTTTCAACAGGATAACGACCCTAAGCACACAAGCAACTCAACACAGGAATACTTTGCTACACAGAAATTGAGAGTGTTGGAATGGCCTTCCCAAAGCCCAGATTTAACTCCGATTGAAAATTTATGGAGGGAACTAATGAGGCGTGTTCATAAAAGAAGACCCAGCAACATCGAAGAATTGAAGACTTTTGCCATGGAAGAGTGGCGCAAGATTCATACAACATACAAGCATTCCTACAACATACATTCCTACAAACATACAAGAAGCGTCTGTGTGCTATCATTGCTACCAAGGGAGGTCACACAAAGTATTAATTTAGAGTTGCCAACAATTTATATGTTTTTTTTTCAAAATGTTGCCATCACTTTTGCTTTTGGTGTTTTTCTAATAAATATATATGCAACAAAGATCTAACGTTTACTATCCGTTATGCACAGTAATTAGATGTTCTTTGATCAATTTAACTGAAAATTAATGCAGAAATTGCAATAAATGCTTCAAATTATATTAATTCTCAATTTAAATATTTTTAAGCGTGTTGCCAATAAATATGCGCGTAACTGTATCATGTCGAAACAACGCGTCGTTATAACGCATGAACATAAAATGAGAACATAACTCGGCCAGACAAATTTTAGATATACGAGTCAGACTCTGCAATAGATGCAGCCAAGCAATATGTAAATCACCGTATTTTGTTCGCTTTAATTAGCTCTGATTTAAAGGGCAGCCTATAAGCAGCTTGCAATCGACTTCAAACTCAGAAAGGAGATTCTGACTAGAAGCTGATTTCGGTTGGGTGACCGTGCAGACCCTGAATAACTCTAAAGTACCGACTGTTGCCACTCGTGGGCAGAATCCCGAATTTTGATCGGCGTTACAAGAATTTTGTTAGGTAAACGAAGGCATTGGCTCCTATCATCTCACAAAATTATTGCATAATTGAACAAATATTTTAAGATCCATCATAATTGACTAATGCTTCTGGACTGAAAAAACTGAAAATGAGCAATTTAAAATTATAAAAAACTTCAGGATGGACTTAATGGAAATGAGATTGGAAGTACATACGCCCATCATGTAGTGGTAGCGGGTTCTTGGTTGCTAATACTCAATAATGCTCGTGAATAGACTGAATATGAGTGCGGCTCATATTATTTATATCCATTAGCGAGTAACGTTCCGAATAACACTGTTAATTTTTTTTATAAAACTCATTATATTGTGAACGAGTGTCAGGACCTGGAATTCCTAAATAAATGCAGGGAATGTATTTCGGCGCCATATATCAGTTGAGTCCCGAAAACATTTTTCAATTTGAATGGACTTCTGACCTCTGGCAGTTCGTAATATTTCTGAACGCAGGGAGCAAGAGCCAAGAATATATGTGGACGCAGCTTTTATTATGATAGAGGCGCCTTGCGTCAGACGCTGCAGCCTATAGCTGCATCCTGACCATAAGGGACGCATGTCGATCATGACAGCTAAAGACGATCAAACTATATTGTGCGTTTCCAGCACTGGAATTTTTTGCAGCTCGAGGGGAACTTTTATCATTATAATCATTATTATATTAGACTCAATTTTGTCACGCAAAGACACTTAGTGAGCCGCTGTCAGTCTAAATCTTAACCGTAAAAGTTTTTATTATTTTCTCAACTATGAGAGACATGCAGGAATTAGGAGAACTTTTCAACGAATAAAGTTTAAGAATGACCTGTTATCAATGTTAATCATGAGACAAATATTTCTAATGTTCAGTTTCAGAGAATTGATCATGCCATTTAATTTAAATTTCAAGCATGTTCCTCATAATAAATAACTTCAGCATTTTACTTCATCTTTACAAATAATATTTTGCTTGCTTCGTTACAGGTGAGCTTCTTCTCGACGTCGCCCGAGCTGAGCAACAAGCAGCGCTTCGAGTATTTCACGCGCACCATTCCATCGGACCAGCACCAGGTCTGTATACCAGATTTAACTATTAAAAGTCATAACAAAATCCAATTGAAAACTATTCCGCTCACAAATTTAAATTAATATAGGCTTTCCATCGCCCATTTGCTATGTTTGTCCATTTTCTAGAACAGAAATTTAGTTCTAGAATTTTGAAAACTGTCAATTTATGCCGCGGAAATATTTTTGCTTTTACATCAGCATAGTTAGTAGGATGAGCAATAAGGTCATTCCATTTAAATCTCACGAAAATCTCACGAAAAATATAAAAAGTCTCACGAAAAGTATAAAAAAATACAAAACTAAGTTTTTGGTTTACATTTGACAATTACATAAAATGGGTAAAATTTGAGGTGCAAGGTAATTGATGTTAGCAAATACTTTAAAGTTTAGAAAGACGAAGCCGCAACACGAACATCGTCGAATAAATAAGACGAGCGTTGCCACTGACGCGGCCAACTTCATGCGGACGACACTAGCGTTCCACAAACTTCGTTGGCTGAAGAGACTTGAAGTTAGTGAAGGCAAAGGACTTTTACAACTGCAGCTCTGAGCTGCGGGGCAAGCAATGCTCTGGCATTCGGTCTAACTCGTTTTATATTCAGAATAGTGACAGGGTTGGGATTAGCAATTCAAGACACACTTTCTAATCGACCTAAGAGCAGAGAGTGGACCTAGCATTGATATGTATTTCTGCTGAGCCAAACTAGGTCAAGATGACCAAGATAAGATAACAAAACTGCATCGCTATTCGGACGAAGACTACCAATTCTCATTTTTTCTGAGTACAGAATTTTCGTCCAGCCTGGCTGGACAGCGACCATCCATATGCTTTTTGTCAATGTCCGGTACAGCCCCGGCATGCGCCTATAGAATAAGGTTATGGAAATACCCCGGGACGCAATCTGAAGATCTATAAAGTTCCACCATTGAGATAATGTAATGTTTATGTTATGATAAAATAAAATGTATACAAAATTTCAATGCAGCTCTATACTCGAAATTTTATTGAAACGATTAATTGCTTTTAAAGTGAAAGAAATATAATTTCTGTCATGCGTGAGGTTGTGATGAAGTGGGATGCGCTTCATCAAAACTTGGAATCATTTAACTTTGCTTTATAGATTTTTACTCCAAGTTTCTCAGCTACTTTGCTATTAATCGCCTCTGAGGAAGTGAATTTTTAAGTAAAAAAAAATTTTATTATTCATTATCCATCTTAACTTTCTATTCTGAAATAGTCCTGATTGGCTTTTGACAACATTTCTGGCAGAGAATGCTTCACACCAAGGCCTTTCAAAATTTATAAATATTCATTGGGGTTTTACAAATTAATTGCTAAGTTAAAATTTCTTCATCTGAAAACTTTGAATCCACTACGTATTAATAATTATCAATCATTGATCGTTAATGGAAATTCTTGCATTTATTCCTCCATTCAGCGCGGTGAGAACTAATGAGTTGTCCGTGAAATCGCGAAATGCAGAAGCAGAATTTTCTGTGACAGACTTTTTATCAATAGCAAAGATGAAAAACTTACAATATTGTTAGAGAAGAATTGTTGAGATTATATTAGAGAAGGAGAATGTTTCAACTGGAGTTTATGACTCTTAAAATTATTAGCTTAAAATAAGTCATCGAGTTTCATAATTTTCTTCATTAGCGTACTTGTATTGCCCAATGTCGAGTCTTCATTGAAAGAAATATTATTTTTTGGTTAAGTTTACTGGAATTTGAATGCTAAAAGGATCTCGCTTACTTTATGCAGTCTCTGAACCCGGATAAATTATGTTGGCTTAAATATTAGACTAATTTTCTCAGCTGAGATTTACTAGTTTTCAATATGGCCGTACATCAGTCCAATTGCTCCACTCAAATTTCTATTTCTTATTTGTATCAATCCATGCTTGTCTTGACGTTCAAATTTGCTTGCGTAAATACTTGAATGTATTAAAAACCCAAACTTATTTTAGCAGTCATGTAATATTTCAGTTCATTTACACGAGCATAGCAAATAACCTGCAACCGGCGACTCGTTTCCTTGATGTCAGGCTAAGCATTTGCATTGCGGGTTTGTGGCGTCAAATATATGCAGTGGAAGTCGGTCGAGATAACGGCTGTCTGATAACTGGATAACGTCAGTTTTGTAACTGGATTGGTTATGGTGAGAGTATTTCAATTTATTGAATTGAATTTACCTACAGAGACGGGGAGCTGTCATGATCAGAAGGTTACACATTAAATCGCGATAGAACTATAAGTGAAACCGTTGATGATGTAGAAGACCTCAGTGTCTTTCTACCGAAATTAACTTGTCAACCTATGATAAAAACTGCGCAGCGCTGATCAGAAATACATTTAATTGTGTCTAGGTCTTATAATTATTAGCAAAACTATTCCATTTTAACTATCATTATTTATTTTATGAGGTTCACAAAGATAGTTTGATATTTTGATGCGGTGACTTGAATTACGACTGCCAGGTCCCGTCCAGCAGACATGATGCTTTCCAATAAATTAAATATCGAGAAATGAGTGCAATGTACACTGTACCAATTACACTGTACCATGTACTGAACTGTACTGTAATGTACAGTACAATGTACATTGTACACGGCTGATGATTAGTGATATATTTTCTGTGTAAGTTTTTTTTTAAATTATGGTAAGAATCTTTCCATACTACTGAACAGAGTTCCTATGATTTTAGAATTTTTGGCATCTAGCACAAGCAAAACAAACATAAAATGTCAATGAAAATATCTTAATTACTTACACGACCATTTGCATTGTTTTGCTCAGGTGGACGCGATGATTGAAATCGTCCGCATGCTGAACTGGACCTACATCTCGATTATCTACGAGGAGTCCAGCTACGGCATAAAGGTAACTGGACCTACATCTCGATTATCTACGAGGAGTCCAGCTACGGCATAAAGGTAACTGGGCCTACATCTCGATTATCTACGAGGAGTCCAGCTACGACATAAAGGTAACTGGACCTACATCTCGATTATCTACGAGGAGTCCAGCTACGGCATAAAGGTAACTGGACCTACATCTCGATTATTCACTAAGTGTCCTGCTATGGGTAAATTTGGATTTGAATACTATTTTCTTTGCGTTTAACGAATTATTGTAGAAACAGAGAATTGATTCAACCATTCTTTACTTAAATGATCCCCACTACATTAGGGAAAAAAACCTTCGTATAAATTATTATGACCGGTCCGCGGAGATAAAAAAACAAATTTTTCAACAATTCTTGCCTTTAAAGTTGCCAAATTAATTTGAAGGCTACATGAAGAAAATAAATTGATGGTAGGGTCATAGTTCAAACAATTGTATTTCATGTTAATTAAATTCTAGCCTGCCATATTCGCTAAACTCGTTGGTTTTGGCTCGCAAATTGATTTTCGCTGGGATATCTTCCTCATATGCTGGAAAATTGGATTATTAGTGCCCGGCGACTTTAATAATAACGAAGGTAATATGATGCGCCGCCGCAGCCCTAGCAACAGTCAGCATATATACTCTCGTGAGCCTAATTTCACGGTGCCTTGATAACAGGTCTTGATTAATCGAGTCAAATTACGACAAGCAGATTAGTAAGCCGATTAGTTTGCAGATTAATTCGTGGATTAGTTAGCAGATTGGTAGGTAGGTTAGTTATAGCAGAAAAGTTACCAGATTAGTTAGAAGATTAGTTTGCAGATTAGTTAGCGGATTAGTTAGCAGATAAGTTAGCAGATTAGTTGAGAGATTATTAGTAGTTTAGTAGGATGATTAGTAAGCAGATTATGAAGAGCCCTGGATCGTTTGGTACAACGTAAAGCCTTGAAGCTGATATAATATCTTGGTTTATTTGCCTTTAAATTTTCAGTCCAATGCCCTGGAATACGACAGCAAACAAACGAAGTTTGTTCGAGCTCATTAAAACTTCGGCAACGTTTGTTTGCGACTTCAATAGATGTGTGTATGCAGTGACCCCTGGGAAATGTGTATGTAATAAACTGTATAATGAATAATATTACAACATAATTAAAGAATTTGCGGGAAATTTATGCAAAACAAATGCGATTATTATCACGGCAATAAAAGAATTACCCAACTTTAATTAAAATATTTATAGGCTTAAATATTTCACTTAAAATTGAACTTTGAATCGAAATCCATGACCCAAATTCCGGTTACGATTATTTATTTATAACTGAAACCGTATTTTATATACAAACTGTTCGGAATGATACTTTTTGTAGACAACATTAAAGCTATGATATTGAAGATAGTTTAGCTTGGGATTCTTGTTGTAGTTCAAAAGTCTCTTGATAATGAATTATGTATCATGATCATGTTTGAAAAATTCAATTGAACATTAAAATAAATGTATTATTTAATACAATTTAACAGTTTTTAATTAAACTACGTTTATCCTAATTCTATTAAGCAAAACTGAATTACGTACAATATATCAGTTACCTTATTTATGAGTTCCTCAAACATTTGTGACTTTATAAAACTAGTCGTGGAATAGATAGTTTTTACCAAGATAATTTATTATGCAAAAATGTATAGAAATCTCAGTATAAGTATAATCTATAATAAGTATTAAATCTCAAATCGGGGCTCTAACCGTAGAGTTTATCTAAGAATGCCTCCGGTGTGCAATATATGTATCTGCGGCGGCGCCTTGAGATTGACTGGAGAATTGAGACTGCGCTGAGTGCCTTGCAATCTCGGCCTGAGCTAATAAAGTACTGGCACATAGCAATAAATAAGCTTCTCTTGCGACCTGCTTTCTTATAACTCAATAAAAGCGACCCCAAATGCCTCATGAGCACCGCTTTATAGCCTCATATGAGTTCATCTCTCCATCAAATGCCAGCATATCAAGACCAAATGAACGCGCTGTGGCTCTTTTTAAATCTAAATGAATGGCTTTCTCTTCGACCGCAAGTTTGACGGGATCAAGGCGAAGTGTCTTTTTAGATTGATAGCTTATATAAATACGGAAACTGATATAATAAACAGGAATTATTCTGATGAAGAGCATTACATTCAACACAAAGTATTAGAATAGAATAGAAGTGTCGGCACTAAAGAAATAGGCCCAGTATTGTTGACCTCCGTACTATTTTCTTTACAATAGTTGATGAAAATTGATACCATCGACTGGCACGTTTTAAAGTATGACGGTATTCTTCAAAAATAGCATTCTGAGAATTACATCCAATATGAAAATACCTTCTTCAAAATGTGAATACATGAAAATATTTCGAAAGTGCAACTTTCCAAATACACATTTCTTTGCAAAACTGGGCGAAAAATCCAACTGGTAAAACTCAATTAAATAGAAAGAAATGAGAAAAGAGCATTAACCTAACTAATTGAAACTAAAAAAGAGCAAAGTTAAGTTAACTAAAAGAGCATTAACTTAACTAATTGAAAATGATACTACAGTGCGAGTCCCTCGCAACACTTAAGGTAGCGAGCGAAGTCGAGCGCGAGGTGTCCTGGAAGCCATCACGGGTTTAGATGTCAACGTATCAACATGCTGTTGAAGTCTTTGAGTTTGCTGTTCTCAGTAAATTAAGTGCTCCAGGTTCTCCATTGAAGATCGTCACGGGTTTAGATGTCAACGTATCAACATGCTGTTGAAGTCTTTGAGTTTGCTGTTCTCGGTAAATTAAGTGCTCCAGGTTCTCCATTGAAGGTCTTCACGGGTTTAGATGTCAACGTATCGACAAGCTGTTGAAGTTTTTGAGTTTGCTGTTCTCGGTAAATTAAGTTCTCCAGGTTCTCCATTGAAGATCGTCACGGGTTTAGATGTCAACGTATCGACAAGCTGTTGAAGTCTTTGAGTTTGCTGTTCTCGGTAAATTAAGTTCTCCAGGTTCTCCATTGAAGATCGTCACGGGTTCAGATGTCAACGTATCGAAAAGCTGTTGAAGTCTTTTGAGGTTGCTGTTCCCACAAACTTGAGTGCTAGAGGAATGGCTCTTTAAATGAGTCAAGTTCATTTATTACATTGAACATCGTCTCGGCTTCAGATATCAACGTTTAAACAAGCTGTTGAAGGCTTTGAGTTTGCTGTTCCCAATAACTTGAATGCTCCAGGTGTGGCTTTTTAAATGAATCATGGTTATTTATACTCCTGGAAATCGTTCTAGGTTCAGATATCAACAAGCAAGTTCAATTATTTTCGAGAATGCATGACTCGGAAATGATACAAGCATAGTGTCAAATCTGTCGAAGTTTCAAAGTTGCTTCATTCGTTATTTGAGTTTTCAGGTTGTTGAGACTATGTTTTCTATGTTTCAAATTAAAATGAATTAGACATGTAATCCGAATCTAAAAGCTTGAAATGTGCAATATTTTTATTTAAAAAATTGCTTGTTCAATATTAATAAAAATTTTGGATCACTTGGAACGACATTCAGCAAATGAGTTCGATTTGATGCGTTTAGTCGAGCCGAAGGAGTCAATAAGTGTGTGTGCAAAATTTACCAAGAGGAAACGTGCAACTGAGATTTATTTCCCTTGTAAGAAATATATCAGTTGGTAAATAAAATAAATGTTAGTCTTCTATGCAACGTAAAAATTCTGATATACCGGAATAGAATATATCTTTATCACAAAAATTAATTTGTCTTATAATAGAGATGAACGGAGCTCATGTCCTGCGCAAATGATGATAATGTAAAATGTTAAGCAATCACAAAAATTAATTTGTCTTATAATAGAAATGAACGGAGCTCATGTCCTGCGCAAATAATGATAATGTAAAATGTTAAGCATAAAAAGATTGAAGCCCCATTATATGTCGATGCAGGCTTACGAGCAGCTGCAGGACAAGCTCGGGCACTATAACATCTGCATCGCCGTCAAGCAGGAGCTCACTAAGGACTCAGGCGTCGGAAATGACACGACGTACGACAACATCGTCATGAACCTCCTCACCAAGTCCAGGGCGCGGGGTGAGTAACACACGTACGACAACATCTTGAGCACGCACACCATAAGGGACGCATTATCTGCATCCTACGTCTTGAGATGAGCGGAATAACGAGTACCTGGGCATGTGACATGAGCACGCACATGCTGCACTCTTAATGATCAATTGTATGTCATAACGTCTCTTAACTTAGCATGAAACAAATTATTATGAAGCAAAACAGGCATTCCGAGGTGGGGCTGACTATAACGATAGGGGGGAGGGTTGACTCTAAGGCAGTGAATCGCCGACTATCGATCATGACAGCTAAAGTCGATCAAACTATTGTGCGTGTCCAGCATTGAAACTTTTACAGCTCGAGGGGCACTTTTGTCTTTGTAATCATTATTATATTTGCCTCAATGCTGTCACGCAAAGACACATGGTGAACCGCTGTCAGTCTAAACTTCAATCGTAATGTAGAGGTTTGACACGCAGGTGTTCTCTGAACGAATCTGACGCGAGGTCACGAGCGGGCTGAGCGCTGTTAGGCTGGCCATTTGGTTCGTTGTCCTACATCTCGATTATCTACGAGGAGTCCAGCTACGGCATAAAGGTAACTGGACCTACATCTCGATTATGCACTAAGTGTCCTGCTATGGGTAAATTTGGATTTGAATATTATTTTCTTTCCGTTTAACGAATTATTGCAGAAACAGAGAATTGATTCAACCATTCTTTACTTAAATGATCCCCACTACAATAAGGAAAAAACCTTCGTATAAATTGATTTGACCGGTCCGCGGAGACAAAAAATTAATTTTCCAACAATTCTTGCCATGAAAGTTGCTAAATTAATTTGAAAGCCACATGAAGAAAATAAATTGATGATAGAGTCATTGTTCAAACAATTGAATTTCATGTTAATGAAATTCTGGCCTGTCATATTCGCTAAACTCGTTGGTTCTGGTTCGCAAATTGATTTTCGCTGGGATACCTTCCTCGTATGCTGGAAAATTGGATTATTAGTGACCGGAGACTTTAATAACGACTCTCCTGCATATACGCGGGAAGGTGATTTGGAGCGGTTCGATGAGGTGTTGGTTTCTGCCCTCTCGACCATCACCAATGTCAGCTTCGAGCGCGAATCTCTTGAACAAGCTGTGTTGCCGGTCCGGCTGGGAGGCCTGGGTATCCGTATGTCAAAGGACATCGCGCTCCCTGCGTTCATATAATCACTCCACTCCGTCCGTGGCCTAGTTGATGCTGTTTTACATAATGTACGACTGGCCGAGGACGACAGTTTGCGGATGGCGGTGGATGAGTGGCGCAATGGGAACGCAGGTATTGCTTTGCCCGAGGACGCGAGTTTGTGCCGGCACAAACTCGCACAAATTAGTTGGCACATTAGTTAGCAGATAAGTTAGCAGATTAGTTGACAGATTATTATTAGTTTGGTAGGATGATTAGTAAGCAGATTATGAAGAGCCCTGGATCGTGTGGTACAACATAAAGCCTTGAAGCTGATATAATATCTTGGTTTATCTTCGTGAAATTTCCAGTCCAATGCCCTGGAATACGACAGCAAACAAACGAAGTTTGTTCGAGCTCATTAAAACTTCGGCAACGTTTGTTTGCGACTTCAATAGATGTGTGTATGCAGTGACCCCTGGGAAATGTGTATGTAATAAACTGTATAATGAATAATATTACAACATAATTAAAGAATTTGCGGGAAATTTATGCAAAACAAATGCGATTATTATCACGGCAATAAAAGAATTACCCAACTTTAATTAAAATATTTATAGGCTTAAATATTTCACTTAAAATTGAACTTTGAATCGAAATCCATGACCCAAATTCCGGTTACGATTATTTATTTATAACTGAAACCGTATTTTATATACAAACTGTTCGGAATGATACTTTTTGTAGACAACATTAAAGCTATGATATTGAAGATAGTTTAGCTTGGGATTCTTGTTGTAGTTCAAAAGTCTCTTGATAATGAATTATGTATCATGATCATGTTTGAAAAATTCAATTGAACATTAAAATAAATGTATTATTTAATACAATTTAACAGTTTTTAATTAAACTACGTTTATCCTAATTCTATTAAGCAAAACTGAATTACGTACAATATATTAGTTACCTTTATTAACGAGTTCCTCTAACATTTGTGACTTTTTAGAACTCGTCGTTAAATGGATCGTTTTTCTCCAAGATAATTTATTATGCAGAAATTTATAGGAAGTATTGAAATCTCAAATCGGGGCTCTAACAGTAGAGTTTACCTAAGAATGCCTCCGGTGTGCAATATATCTGAGGCGACGCCTTGAGATTGACTGGAGAATTGAGACTGCGCTGAGTGCCCAGCAATCTCGGCCTGAGCTAAAAAAGTACTGGCACATAGCAATAAATAAGCTTCTCTTACGACCTGCTTTCTTATAACTCAATAAAAGCGACCCCAAATGCCTCATGAGCACCGCTTTATAGCCTCATAAGAGTTCATCTCTCCATCAAATGCCAGCATATCAAGACCAAATGAACGCGCCGTGGCTCTTTTTAAATCTAAATGAATGGCTTTCTCTTCGACCGCAAGTTTGACGGGATCAAGGCGAAGTGTTTTTTAGATTGGAAGCTGATATAAATATGGAGTATTTTAGCACTTACGGGAGCTCATATGTAAAAAAACGGGAATTATTCTGATGAAGTTCGTGAAATTCAACACAAAGAAGGAGCTTCGTAGATCTCCATACTATTTTCTTCCCAATAGTTGATGAAAATTGGTAATATCGACTTGCACGATTTCAAATTATGATGATATTCTTCAGATGGGGGCATTTTAAGAGTTACATCCGGCATCAAAATACATTCGAGATATTTTAAAAGTAAAACTTCCCAAATACTTATATTTTCTTACATAACTGCGCGAAAAATCTCGCCGGTAAAATTGTTTACTCAATGAAGTAAAAAGAAATAAGAAAAGCGTATCAACTTCCAATTGAAAATGAGACTTCAGTGCGAGTTCGCGCGGCGACCTTCGTACCACTTGAAAAACGAGCGAAGTCATGCGCGAGGTTTCCTGGAAGCCATCATGGGTTCAAACATCAACGTGTCAACAAGCTGTTGAAGGCTTGAGTTTGCTCGTCTCGATAACTAGAGTGCTACATTAAATGAGTCAAGTTTATTTATTATATTGAAGATAGTTACAGGTTCAGGCATCAACGTGTCAACAAGCTGTTGAAGGCTTGAGTTTACTCTTCCCCATAACTAGAGTGCCCAGATATAGTTATTTAATAATTTATATAATAAAATAATAAGAATTTATAAAATAATAATAATAAATAAATAAATAATAATAAAAGACCTCTTTAAATGAGTCATGGTCATTGGTGCTATTGGAAATCGTCCTAGATTCGGATATCATGAAACAAGTTCATTTATTTTTGAGAATGCATGACGAGGAAATGTTGATACAAGCATAGCATCAAATCTATCGAAGTTTTCATTCATTCCTAAGTTTGAATTTTCAGGTTTGTGAATTTCAGGATTTCTATGTTTCAAATTAGAATGAGTTAGCAATGTAATCCACATCATAAAGCTTAGAAATGGGCAACATTTTCATTCACCAATTGCCAGTTCAAAATAAAGAAAAAATTTGGACCAATTGGATTGACATTCAACTAATGTCAATAAGTGTGTGTGAAAAAAACTGAGTAGAGGAACGTACAACTGAGCTGCTGGATTTATTTACCTAGTAAAAATCAGTTGTTCAATTAAATGTTAGTCGTCTATTATCATGTTATTATAAAAAGTATCATTTCAGTATAAACAAATTAAAGCTCCTTTATATGTCGTTGCAGGCTTACGAGCAGCTGCAGGACAAGCTCGGGCACTATAACATCTGCATCGCCGTCAAGCAGAAGCTCACTAAGGACTCTGGCGTCGGCAACGACACGACGTACGACAACATCGTCATGAACCTCCTCACCAAGTCCAGGGCGCGGGGTGAGTGACACGTATGACAACATCGTCATGAACCTCCTCACTAAGTCCAGGGCGCGGGGTGAGTAACATACGTACGACAACATCGTCATGAACCTCCTCACCAAGTCCAGGGCGCGGGGTGAGTGACACACGTACGACAACATTGTCATGATCCTCCTCACCAAGTCCAGGGCGAAGGGTGAGTGACACACGTATGACAACATCGGCATGAACCACCTCGTCAAGTCCAGGGCGCGGGGTGAGTGACACACGTACGACAACATCGTCATGAACCTCCTCACAAAGTCCAGGGCGCGGGGAGAGTGACACACGTTCGACAACATCGTCATTGACCTCCTCACCAAGTCCAGGGCACGAGGTGAGTGACACACGTACGACAACATCGTCATTGACCTCCTCACCAAGTCCAGGGCGAAGGGTGAGTGACACACGTACGACAACATCGTCATGAATCTCCTCACCAAGTCCAGGGCGCGGGGTGAGTGACACACGTACGACAACATCGTCATGAACCTCCTCACCAAGTCCAGGGCGCGGGGTGAGTAACACACGTACGACAACATCGTCATAAAGTTCAAGTGCGGTGAGTGTTCAAATAAGGGTAGCCGAACCAATCAGTTAACATGTAAATAATGCTACTCTTATCTGATTATGAAACGGGGAAATTAGATAAAGACTAAGAATTGGATTGTCGAAGGATGGATTTCATCGGTATAAATAAATTATGAAGCAATACTGTTAAAATAATAATTTACTTGTTACGTAAATTAATCTAAGGTATGAATTATTTTATCGTTTCGGAAAGCTTTAACTGCAGTTTGATTTTTTCTTTCATCGCATATACATTATCTTAAATTATTGCTCAGTATTAGAGACAATTAAAAATAGAAATTGGTTTTTCATGGTACATATAAATTCAGAGCTGCAATTATATTTTATGAAATGCAGACTTTTCAGTCTCACTAAGTTAACTCATAAAATAATTGCCAGCAAATGGACAAAATAAGATTCAAGTTTGAAATTTAAATGCGCAGTGAAGAATATTGATGCGCAGCTCATCAGAGAAGAGATCGTTATTTCAATTTTATGTACAATTGCAAATAAATTTTGTATATCTACAAATTGAAGTGTAGGCAGATTAAATAAACATTTTTATGTACACGCAACATTTGATATCAATTGAGCTGAGTGCGCTGGCGAATTTTCTTCAGCACTTCCTAAAGTTTTGAATTCCGAAGCTCGGCGCAAAGAGACACTTGACATTCCCGTATTTGTGGAAGCGTGGTCTCAGGTTGAATAAAATACCATCTATACCAGCGCTCTGAATACCTGCCTTGGCAAGTCATCAGCGTTTGTCTCGAGCGCCTCGCTGGTGGATTGTGCAATCGAACGAAGATCCGTATTGCATGCAATGTGCCGCTCTTTTTTATTGTATTCCCACAAAACCTCAGGAGCGACAATTTTATTCCTGTATCTTAGGCCTGCAGGTCTGAGCAATGGTTTGAAAAACTTTTTTGAATGCGAACTACTAATAATTCAAGCGTTCCTGAGCCTTTTGGGCTGTGCAATTTTAATATTAATATACCAAGCGATAATTTATTATAATATTGAACCGTTTATAACCCTCATATCAGACTTTTTGAAACATAGGCATAGTTTGAGTACAGTCGTCAGCTTGTTATCTACTTAATGTAATGAATATATAAGTTTTGGCGTTTTTTATTTGTAAATTTTGGTGAGAAATCTGTTTTTGAATTTCGACTAAACCAACTAATTGTATCAGTGGTCAGTAACTGAATTGGACTTCGAAGCATTTCCCACATAGATATCATGAATTTTCATGACTTATAATTTATTTGAAATTTTGGTTAATCTGTGTTTCAAGTAATCTAGTGACATTATATCTATGAAACTGTTGCAATATTTTCATTTCAAGACAGCTTTATTATTGGCCTTGGTTTGTCAATCAAGTTGGTGGTCGTGTGATTTCGCTACCTTTTGATTTGCTTATTTCATACGAAATTTGCTTGTAACGCAGCTAGTCAAGCTCACTAAAGTCAGAGTAGCGAAACAGTATATATGTTTCGTGTTCATCTGCGCAACGGTACCTACATTTCACCTGGATAATCAATCATTCATGATTTTAATTATTTTAGCTTCCTCGCATATAGTTTCTCTCTGAGATTTCTTTTCTACTGATTTAATATCATATTTGTAATGATTGTAATCTGGAAACCGTTATAGATTTAAAACTTTACGGTAATACGACGTGTTTCTTGTATCATCACAGCGCTGCCGGCCAAATATTATAAACCTCAGTTTTTACCAAAAATTCGAACCGGAGTGATTCTTGACGCGCAATAAATCTTTGATATTTAAACCCGTTGGTTCTAATTATACTCCTGGAGGAATGCTGGACGCCGTTCGATTACTTCGAAGTTTTATATTTAAGGCTCCACGATGGAAGCATAGTCCAGTCAGTCTCAACAGGCGTGAGTTGCAAGTCCTCTTTTTCCCGACATTTCTAAAAAATTTCTATCTGAAATTAAGCCCATCGAACGAGCAACCCTGACAACTATGGATGCTTTGTTTGAGAGACGAGGGGCGCGTAATTAACCCATTCTTCTTCCCTCTGCTCCAGCGATATCCAAAGAATTTCTCCCTGGACATCGTGATATCCAGGAAAACAGAAAGTCAGAGACAAATTAGTCTGTAATTCTTAGGAAATCTCTTGCCGTGTGTATTGGTTTTCAGATGATCAATGAGTCGAATAATGGTTTATTTTTTCTGAACCAGCATGAAGGCTAATGCTAGTCGTTAATATAATTGGTTACCAAAGCTCCTGAAATTTAAAGTCACTTCCTTGAGTCCTTACTCAGAAATGCATGTAGTTGAAATGTGTTGCAATTCAGTTCTAAATTACGTTCCGAATATCAGTTTCTACTTTGAAATTAAAATGTCGATGTTATCGTTGGAGCACAGTTTATCATTGTGGCGGGTTCCATAATCCCGAGCTACTGTCTCCGCCATAAAGAGACCTAGAACGCGCTAAGGAATGTTTTCTTGTGAAGCGTGAACGGATTAGTTCATCGTGTCAGCAGAAACTTAGCATTGCACATGAAGTTCGTAATCTTCCACGCCATTGACCGCAATTAGATCTTAGGAGTCAATACAAAAATCAAGATATAGGATTAATACAAGAGTCAAGATATTGGAGGCTAAGATGTCTTCCATTGTAAACCTAAAGTAATCTTGGCTTGAAATTTATACTCTGAGTCTCTGACGTGCTAGACGCGTAATTTTGCGCCTGTACATGTATCAAGTACGTCTTTTTTGTTTTTTCAGTTTACAAGTTTCAAGTAGGGAGATGAATTCCTTGGTTTCCTTTGCCCTAACTTTGTTCCCTGCTCGAAAGGGCTTAATCCGAAAGTGCTTGCTCGGAGCAATCATTATCCGTCGAATCAATCATTTCGCAATATTTAAGTCGACTTTCATAATATAAGTGAGAGCCAGAAAATTTTGAGGTTATTTGCAACCGAATCGAGGAAAAATAAAAGCTGGCAGACAAGCTCACCAAGAAGTTAGGACAAGCTTGGCAGGCTCGGTGATGGATGCGTCTCATTAACTTACATACCGCGGCAAGGCAGGATTTCTCACATCGGAATAAGGAAGAAGTCATTGCTTCGTTATGGCTCTACAGAGGTAAGGAAGTTGTCAATATCTGACCAGAAATCAGTTCCCCTTAGTCTATCTAACATCGGTGAAGCATTCATGCGTGAACGTTGCGCGCACTGGCGGTCAGTGTGCGATCATTTCCCAATTGCCCCCAACTCTGGCCAGAGGGGCGGTGGCCCAGTGGCTCGAACTCGGGGTTACCTTTGTTGGTAGTGCTATTACCGTATGCAATTTAAAGACTTTATCAGCAAGAAGGAGTAACTGAGCATCATCTACTCAATTTAATTGCTCTGCACTGAGATAAAATTAGTAACAATTTTCATGCCTAACAAACTGCAACGCTGCATTAACCTTGGTACTGGCGCGCGTATACGTGGTGGCTCAAACGTCTCAGTATCTGATTCAAACCGATTTGGACACATTTTTTTCCACTGCATGCTGTAAGGCGGTTCGGTTCTTATTAGGAGAATAATTAATTATCAGTATACTTTATTCGTAATAGATTTAAGAACAGAGCAGTCAGATCAAGATTGTTCGCAATCATATGACACTACTTGGAACGGATCATTCGTAAAGAGCCGCATTAGTGCAAGAATCGGTCTCTCGACGGCCAGCTTGTTACCCTGATACGTACGAAGATCTTCATATCGGATGCTTTGTAATTACTGTTTTCATTGGAGTAACTCTTTAGTCAACCTGGAAATTTCGTATGTTCCTAGAGCACAACTTTTGTCTTGTGTATCTCTGTGCTTTGTGCAACTCACTGAGAGAAATTTTTTCCATTGTAATGGAAGCACAAATTTATTAACGACTCATTCTGGAATGTGTTAATTAAAGTCCTGAGTTATTTCAGGCTTTCTGGGTGAATTTAAAATACAACAATAAATTTTAGAAATAGGAACTTGTGACCATTAATAAATATCGTTAGATTTACACATAAAAAATTGAGAAATTAAAAAAATAAATTTTACTTAAAAAAATAATGCCAACTCGAAATTTTGCTGAGTTGATACAATTTATATTTGGTGAAAAATTCCTTAGCGTTACGCCTGCCTTCCGGCGCAATATGTAAATCAGAGAAACGCGTTAGCTGATACAGCGGCGAACTTTGCGTCTGCTTGCCTATAAAGCGTTGCATGATTTGTACGTTGATGAAGGAAATCGTATCCTTTGTCAGGGATGGAAACCTGTTTATTTATTTCTTATACTACTAATATTCCACCATCCATTTCACACGATAAAGTTTTAATTAAATTATTCAGTTTATTAACACTTTCCTGTCAGTCTCAACTATCGCTTGCCGCAGTAAAATGAAGCAGCATGGC